CCTTTAGGACACTATCAAAGGGTGAGGTACATTTACAGAGAAAGGGGCACCTGGTTTGTCGTGGTGAGAGGGGGTCCAGAAGTTTTGGCTTTATTTAGGTTATCGCAGGCACCAAACCGCTATAATATATGACTTGGTTGCTGAACAGAGGCAAATTATTCTCAATTTCTTGTTGTTTGCAGAATATTTGTCACATTTATCAACTGTAGTATATTTAGCCCTATGGTTTGGGCTCTTTCCAACCCCACACACACTAATAAACTAAATATACTTGCTTTGATAAGTACATTTTAACTTCTGCTCTTAGTAGTTGGCTATATTTTTAATTTTAGAAGCCACTCACTTATGGAATGTCATAAGAACCACAGAAGGAGAAAGAAAAAGCTTAGATTATCTTTTTTCAGAATTTTCACCAGGGTATCAACTATATGAACCAGCTTATAAATCCTTCTTACTGAGATTTTCTCTTTGTCTCTGCTATCAAGTTCAATTTTCATTCACAATGCATTGAAAGACACTATAGAGTCATGCAACATTAAACCAATTACCAACTGGGGACATTATAGGCCAATGGTGATGCTCCTAAGTTAAGTAGCAAATTCTCTATAGTGGATAAAATTGTGTTATTCAGTATTCTGCTAGGGAAATGAAAAAAATAAGATCAAGTGCTTAATAGAGGTGGCAGTGGATATTTTCTAAGGAATCTATAATTCAAACTCTTCCCTGGCATCAGGAAATCACTGAGATAACATCATTAATTTCCATTAGAGTAAGAGTTAGTAGAAGAGACCTTGGTAGGAAAAGCTAGGCAGGGCAAGTTTCATTTGCCTATACTACAGACAACAGCTCTTTATCATGGCTTTGCAGGCATAGAAATGACAAAAGGCTGGAAGATAAACCTAAGCAAATATAAAATTAAGAGGAAATTCCTAAATCACATACTGCAAAGTTACCAAGTAATATGACCTCACATGTTTTAAAAAATAAAAGGATTGGGGAACTCTTCAGTCTGCATTTTTAATATAGCATGACGCATAACACCCTTCTTGCATTCTTGAGAACTCAGTACCTAATTTAGATAAATACACTCTAATTTTGTTATCCTTGAATTTTTTCAAATAGGAAAAAGTTATACTGCAAAAGGAAATGCTGAAAACTTCAAATCTGTTAAAAAGTGAAAACTTAGAGCAATCATTCTACATTCAGAGCTTAACCTTATTACAAGGTTCTCACCTTGAATGGGCAACCTTTTTTACATTATTAAATTCCACAATTTCTCCAATGTTTATCTGAAATGTTAACATAACTTGAAATGATAGGTAATAAAACACATAAGCAAATAGAATTTTTTTTTTGGCAGGAAAATGGAATAATGCCTACACTCAGGGTCAAAAGGAACACTATAGAAAGGGGCAATCATAAAACATTATAGACATTTCCATCTAGTCTATTTCTGAGCTTTTTCATAGTATAACCTGGAACAGCTGGTTATCTCTTTTGAATCCTTGGATCTTACAGAAATATTCTACAGTACTTTATAATAACCAGTTCATAATTCCCCTTTTATCAAAGGAAAGCAGTATGTCTGAGATAGGGCAGGGTCAGGTGAAGAAAAAAAAATGGAAGATAACTTTCTCCATCCAGCCCTTTTACTCCACCCTACCCCAAACTGCTTTGTCCCTGATAAGGTACACTAACAGGTCCCTAAGTAAATCCTAAACCCTAAGGATCCTTTTAAAAACCACCTTAGGTTTTTAAACCTAAGGTAGTGGAGCACACCTGTAATCCCAGTGAGGCTGAGACAGGAAAACCACAAGCCAGTCTCAGCAATTGAGGGAGACCCTGTCTCAAAATTCAAAAAAAAAAAAAAAAAGTAAAATAAAGGGCAGTAAATGTGGCTCAGTGGTTAAGTACCCCTGGACTCAATCTCAGGTACCCCCCCCCAAAAAAAAAGTAAAAAATAAAAAAACACCACTTGAACTTGGCAGCTGTATAGCTGAAAAAAAAATAACTTCAGGCTATGTGCTATGAGGAAATGGAAGACTCAGTTGACTTTCATTAATGCATTCCTTCCATGACAACATATCGAACCCTACTCTGTGCCAGGCTTGGTGCTAAGGCTCGTGCTAAGTACTGGGCATACCAAAATGAAAAAGAAAGGCTTATCCTCTCTTCTAGAAAATTCTACTTCTTGGAAATTTCCATGTCTATGAAAGAACCATATGCCAGCGACTCTTTGACTATTTTATCATTAGCCTCTAAATGTTTCCCTAATTGAAACCCCTCCATTCCTGAAGCATTGGTGGTAAAGATTCATGGTCCTTCTTTCTTTCCCAGTTCTGGCCCCAATTCTGGATGATTTCAACACTGGCCCGGATACTGCATGCAGCCTCTCAGTTCCTTAACTTCTGATTTCATTTCCATGGAAATCTACACCTATCCTACTCATATCTCTGTTACCTACTCAAATGGTCATATCCTAGACCTTATCAATCACCTGGAACTCTTCCACTTTCACTATTTCTTCCTCTGCCTCCCCTGAACAGTCAGCCTCTTGATTCCTCACCCTCCTAAATAGTAGCTTCCACCTGAATTCACAGCTTCTCCTACCCAACACAGACTTGACAGCATTCTAACCCTTCTTTTGCCCAAATCCTCACTTCTCTCACACATCTGCCCTTTACCCCAGGACAGAAGTATTTGGCTTCTGACTGCTACATGCACCTGAAGAAACATGGCACCCTTGTAGATTGGTACCGTTATAAATCACTTAACTAACTCCACATGTCATAATGCTGGTTTTTAACTCAACCCTCTCTCTTATTCTCCACAAAGATAGACCCAACCTCATTTTATCACCTTCCATGCTGAAGTGAATCACAGGGACTCTCCTCCAACTCCATATAGAAAGCACATGGCTTTAGATGGGCATCCCTCACCTTCCTGCTACCAAGCTTCTTAGTTACCTGGACCTGCACATGTCCTTTCCTCTATCCCACCCATTATAGTGGAAAGGAGGTACTCTCCCCAGTCTCAAGCTCTAGGTCACCTACTTGCCCATTTCCTTTGAGAATGCACATTTTTACTGTCTCCTCTTGAGCCAGTGAGTTTAACCTCACCATGTTCTCTTCTCATATTCCTATAAATACACTCAAGTGTCTCAGTAATTCCTCAGCTCCTTTCAGCTAGTTATCCTCATCTTCCTTCTGCTTCACAATTAAATTTCTCCAGGAACTGTCCATACCTACCATCTCTACATTCCCACTTTTGATCTGCTTTTGCCTTCATGCATCACCTCCACCATGCCTCTAAAATCACAAAGTTACTAAGGACCTCTTCAGTTCTAAATCCAATGGGTATTATCCCCAACTTCATCCTAACATCTGAGCAACTTCTCACCCTACTGAAAGTTCCCTTCTTTCTTCTCTTCTGTTGGCCATTCCTTGTAGTCCTTTTTGTAGGTTGCTTATCCTCTCTTCTAAATAACTCTTCTCTCTCAACACTCTGGGTCATCTCATCCTCCCTATAGTTGATTATAAGCAGCATCTACATGCAGCATCTACATTTGCCTGGTAGCCCAAGCCAGGAACCTAAGCATCTTCCTTGATACCCTTCACTCACCACATCAAATAAATCACTTAGGTCTATCAAATCCACCTCCTAAGTATTTCTAAATTCTGTCCACTTGTCTCCATTCTTCTTGGCTAATTCAGGCCACCATATTGCGGGTTCTGATTTCTGCAACAGGTCTCTATTCTGTCAGCTGCACAACCCTTCAATACAATCTGGTTTGTTTCACAGCCAGAACGATTTTTCTAAATGAAAATTCAATCATGTCATCCCCTTGCCAAAATGTCTTGAATGGCTCCCCACTGACCTCTAAATTCTTTAACTTGGGTTTGAAAAGCCTTTCGCAATCTGCCTCCAGCTTCTTTCTCCAGCCTAAGATTTCACAATAGCCCTCCTTGGAATTCTGTGCTTTAGCCATGATGGAGTATTTTCTGTTCTTAAATGCATCATGCTTTCTTTGGGCTCCACACCTTGGATCATAATCTTCCTTCTGACTAGAACATTCTTCCTAGAGTGAGCTCTACTTACCCTTCTGAACTCACCTAGCTTAGACATCACCTCTTCAACCAAACTTTCTCTGAACCTCACTCCACACAGCTAGCTGTTCTCACGATACCCCATTCTTCCACTGTCACACAACTAAATACATGATATTGAAACTGTCTCTGCACTTTTCCTTAGTGCCCACCAAGCCTGAAAATAGAGACAACATCACTTAGAGTTTTTACCAATCGTGGACATTCTTGATGACTTTATACGAACATCTGTCTATATCTCCAGATTTTATAGACATCTTGGTATCCATCATTAGATTGTAAATACCTTTATGGTGGGGGCTGTGCCCATCGGTTTCACCGGCATATCATCAATGTATATAGATAAACAATATTACACCATAATTCACTTTGTTGACAACAAAGAAATACACTAAACTATAACCCTTCAGGCTTTCTCAAAAAATATATGCTAAAAAGCACCAAAAAGCAATCCATTCTTTTTTCTTAACTACAGCATTCATTGGTACACTAACATTCAATAAACCATACACATCTGTGAACTTGATTTGGATAAGATCGTCATCAACTTCTAATACTAAATGCCCTTTGTAAGAAGAAACAAAAGATAGAAAGGGGAAATAATGTGAGTTTCATATAGATAATTATGGATACCAATGCTATTAACTGGAATATTAAAATTATCAACATATTATCAACATCAGGAGCTAAGGACTATTCATGGGAATAATTCTAAATATAACAAAGTGGTCTAGATAAACACTAGGCCAAAGATACTGTAAAGAATGAATGCTATGTTGCAATAAGACTTGTGAAAGCTGTATCAGCCCTGTCCAAGTGAAAACACTTCCAGTCCACTTTATTTTTTAAGCAAAGAAAAATTATCAAAATCTTCAAGTACTGGATAATACTTACAACAAAGGGCCTTCTGCAGTCTTCGGAGTTTCATGGCAGTCCTATAAGCTGAGAACCTGACATTATTCAGATCAGCTGAAGAAAAAAAGGGGGGAAACAATGATCGTTTGTTATTTCATCAGAAAGCACAGACCAAAATCCCCAATGATTTGCCAACAACAACAAAAATAGGCTAGCAAAAAAAAAAAAAAATCTTGTATCTATGCTCCAAGCTTTGGAAGGTCAAATTGTTGGGGTAAAGGGGGGAAAAAAAAAACCTTCGCTCTTTGAAAATCAGGAAAACTAAGTTCTGTGACAGATGACAGTGGCAGAGCCTACAGAGTCATTCAGGTAGTCCTTGTTCCCAAGAGGAAAAAGAAGGACAGGCATTATCTTTCTTTCAAGACTGTAATCTGGATCTACTATAGTGAATCTCTGCTGCCCAAGATTAAAGAGAACATGGAATACGTTAATGAAATAGCCATAAGAAGTTAGTAAACAAGTAATAAAATAACAACTCTTGTGGTTATAAAATTTATATATGCTCACTGTAGAAAATGTAAAGATTATGGGAAAATATAAAACTGTATTAAAATCATCCAATGTTAACATTTTGAACATTTTTAACCTGTGTGTATCTGTAAAAATAATTTTTTAATTGACAACAAATTATATGTTTATCACATATAATACAACATGATGTTTTGAGGTGTCTATATACATAGAATAGTTTTAAATCTAGCTAATTAACATGTATTACCTAATGCAGTTATCATTTTGTGGTAAGAAAACGTAACATCCATTCTCTAAGCATTTTTCACAAATACAATATACTCCCATTAGCTATAGTCACCATAGTGAAGATTTCCTGAACTTATTCCTGTTAACAATCATTTTGTATTTTTTGACCAACAACTCACTTTATTATTCTCAGGTGCGATCAATCATTCTAATATGCAGCATAAAGTAACAATAATTTTTCTACCAGTTTCGTTTGAGGTTCTGAAGATTGAAACCAGAGCCTTGAATACTGTAGTCAAGTACTATGCCACTGAACTACAGACCCTTATCCTACACTTAATGTACTGTTTTCTATAGTCATCTGTCTATCAAGCCCCCAACTCACCTAGCAGGAACCTACATTCAGCTGGTGCTCTTATTCAAGTTTGCACAAATCTTTTTTTTTTAATTTATTAGTTGTTGATGGATCTTTATTTATATGTGGTGCTGAGAATGGAACTCAGTGCCTCACACCTGCTAGGTAAGTGCTCTACCACTGTGCCACAATCCCAACCCCAAGTTTGTCCAAATCTTGATATACACTGGGATACAGTTGTTTTCTAGTGTTTTTGTTCATGTGTGTTTCAGGAACATAGGTCCCAAAAGCTCCTTGAAGATAAGAAGTCTTTCACCTACTTATGTCATATTTCCCAGCAACTTCATATACAACTGGTCTTTGAAAAAGCAAGTCTAATACAACTAGGGGACTGATTGAATGAATAAATAAACCAAAGAATGAAAGAAAATATACTGACAAACATGACTAAATGCCATCATCAAATGGCACCCATAAAACCGATTCTAATGGGTTGTTAGGAAAGGGCAATAATTTAATCCATATCCAAGTCACTTAGGTCAACATTATTAGCTTTATGGCTTTCACAGAAACCAAACATAAAATCCTGAATTTAAATTAGGGGGAAGAAAATAATGTCTGTAACTTAAAAAAAATTTAAAGACTGTCAATACCAAATAATGGCAAGGATATGGAGCAACTGGAACTCTCATACACAGCTGGTGGGGGGGGATGTAAACCAATACAACTCTGGAAAATCAGTTCATAAATCACATATGTCTACAAAAAGATGAGCCAGGCACTGTGGCACATGCCTGTAATTCCAGCAATTCAGGAAGCTGAGAGAGGAAGATTGCTCAAGTTCAAGGTCAGCCTCAGCAACTGAGCAAGGCCCTGAGTAACTTAGTGAGACACTGTCTCTAAATAAAATTTAAAAAGGGCTGGGGAATGTGGCTCAGTGGTTAAGTGCCTCTAGGTTCAATCCCCAATGCCAAAAAAATATGGATATTAATGTCCACAGCAATTTTATTCAAAGTAATCCCAAACTGGAAACAAACCAACAGGGTAATGGATAAACAAACTGTGGTCCAGTTGTACAATGGCTACTGCGCTCCAATAAAAGAGAAGTAACTACTGATAAGGCAATAATATAAATTGATCTGAAAAATACTGAGCTAGGAGTTGGGGCTGTAGTTCAGTGGCAGAGTGCTTGCTAGCATGTATGAGGCACTGGGTTCAATCCTTAGCACCACATTTTTTAAAAAAAACTAAACAAATAAAGGCATGCTATCCATCTACAACTATAAAAAAACAAAACAAAACAAAACAAAACACTGAGCTGGGTATTCCATTTCATGAAATTGTAAAACGTGCAAAACTCACCTATAGTATGGATGGTAGTCTAGGGTGGGGGTGAGTGGGCACTGACCACAAAGGAACACAAAGGTATTTTCTACATGATTGAAATATATATTTTTATTGCTGTGGTGGTTACATAAGTGTATATGTTTGTCAAAACTCAAACTGAACCCTTAAAATGGAAGCATTTTATGGTGTTTAAATTATGCCTCAAGAAAGTACATTTTAAGAGTTTAAAAAAACCCTCACGTGGACAGTACAATATGATGTATGTGCGTTAGCTAAAGGTACACTGTAGAGGCGGTCAGTTGTCTTAATCAGGAATGCATACTCTAGGGGTGGTTGGCTAGCAATTAATCAAAAAGCCTCACTCCAGAGGCGGCCACTGTAAGTGCTTCAGCTATATTTAGTTCCTATTACACCATGGGTTTCATTAATTATCCTAATTAATGTTAGACGAGCTTGTGTTGATGATGTTAGTAGTTTGCAAAATACAAGGATTTGAAAACGATTTAGAAACATTCACCACATTTACATTAAGAATCTAGCAGGTCCTGTATCTTTACAAATGGTGCTGGATTCCAAAATATCCAATGAATCCAGCTGTGATTCACTGGATTCTTGGTTGCCTGAATTCAATCAGATGATTGACAGAATCCTGCTAGGAGATCAATGGTTCTCAAACTTGAGTGTACATGTGAATCACCTGAGGGCTGGCTTAAACACACAGATCTCCCAGGTCCCACCCTTAGATTTTCTGATTCAGTAGGTCTGGGGAGGGCCTGAGAATCTGCATTCCTAACAAATTTCCAGGCCATGCAGTTGCCGCTGGTCTGGGGACCACACTTCTGAGAACCACTGTAATGGACCCATGGAGACTGTGAGCTTCTCACATCACAAAAGACAGAACTGATGTTTCACTATGCCTTTGATGCAGGCTGTAAGATTATTTTGTGCCCACTAGCTAATAAATGTTCATATGTGACAGAGCTTATTCTGAGACTTGCTTCCATTATAACCTGGCAGCCGAAATGAGGATAAGAAGGCAGCTCTTAGCTACCTCTAACCACAGGTGGCTACCAAAACCTACCAAAGAGAACCTACATGGGTCCTTCATAGAAAAAATGTGAGTCAAGGACCAAAGACACCTGAATCTTTTTGGAACTTATCAGAAATGCAGACTCTCAGGCCCCACCCAGATCTATGAATTAATGTCAACATTTTAACTAGATCCCCAGGTAATTAATACGGACATTCAAGTACAACCAAGTCTTTAATTGTTCATTTTAATAAATTTTTCTTGTTCCTTGTTGTTAAGCTTCAAGTTATAAACTCTGACAAAACCCATGATTCCCCCCCCCCTGTCATCAGTCTACATTCTACTTGTGGGCTTTTAGGAGATTGTTTTATAAGTATTATAATAGTCAATTGGGACAAAAACTCACCTCTAAGACACATTTATCATACATTTACCAACAAAAGATATTCAATAAGTTAAAAGCATCTAAGAGTATCCTGAAAGGTTAAATGTACAGATTCTTCTTGAAGTGAGTTAAAATTTTTCCCCTGGCCTTGTTCTCTGGAGAGAACTTGATTTATCTGAATTCCACTGATTTTCCTTGGTTCTCTCTCCCCCAAGAGTCATGGTTCTCCCTTTGTCTCTTTTTTCCAATCATTGATACCTTTTAGGGTGGTCTCAACCAACTCATGGCAAGAATTGAGTTGTCTTGTAGCATTAGTCCACAAAAAACAATCCCTGTCCTTCCTGCTCCAGATGGGTATAATACTATTCACCAGTGAGACCAGATTTTTCCTATGCTAGTATGGAGCTCCTTAATACACACTCACAGTTGAGTTCCCTTAGCTGAACTCTTTATGTTGAGACACAGAAATGCACTTTGGGTCAAATACAGATCACTTAACAATGGCTTCTAGCAGTTTCCAAGGGATGAGCCTCCAACCCTAAATTTTCTTGTATTCATTTCCTTATACAAAAATGTGGAGTACAGGCTACATTGCAACCAAACATCTTGATAGAAGTTAGTGGCACAAGATTTCTCTTTTTTTTTTCCTTTCTTTCTAATCTTCCGTTTAAATTGCCTCTTATTCATTTAAGTTTCCTATCTTCCTTCTTTCATAATACCAAGATCCTTCTCTTGTGACTCCAATTTGACTCCCCTTTCCAGTTTTCCTGGTTCTATTCAGAATTCAAAACAAATGGTCCAAATGAGGTCAGGCACTCCATTAAATCTCACAGTTCCTATCAAGAATTGGCAAATTCCAGGAACTAGAGACTCAAAGGGAGAGGCAAAGATGATCTGATTCTTTCAGGGCGTGGAACACTGTGGAATGGTATCAAGAGAAAGGATCTGAACAACCCTGCTCTAGCAGTGCTCAGTTTTCTTAAAGCAGTTCAAACTTAGCTCTCTTTAGAAAATCTTCTAATTATGACACATTCAGCCTCTAGTTAATCTTCCTGATAGACTTACATCGTACCTCCAATCCACTGTAAAGAACAAGCCTTCTGCCATCCATTTTCTACACACCATATTCCATCCACCCCATTCTCAAAACAGTGATTCAAGAGTATCAGAAGAAAATAGCAGGATAAATGGCTACTCTCCAACATCATGCTGCAGAAGTCATATCAATTTATATTGAA